GACAAGTTGAGATGGGGACTGGCGGGGGGTGGGGGGTGCTGTCCCCATCCCCTCAGCGTTAAACCACTTGGCCAGCATGCATTGGCTCGGCTCCCGGTGACTCCAGCCATGGTTCTGCCTGCTGATGGGGAGGTAGGAGCAGAAGCCAGGGCTCTGGCAGCTCCCAGTCTGCTGGAGGAGGCTCAGGCTATGCGCGGGCACCTGCCCGATGGAAGCAGGCCCCCAGTCCTTGCCTGAGCAGGACATGAGCAGTGTGGCTATTGTTCCCGTGGGGACTTTGGGACAGAAGCCCCTGCCTGGTGAGACTGGGCGGTCAAACAGATGCCTTCAAGCTCCCACCTCTCACAAGTAGAGACAAGAGTGACCTTCTGTTACCCCACCCACACCCCATCTCCCTGGGAATCCAGTCAACCTACCAGTCCACCCCATCCACGGGCAGGCCTTGCCCCCCGAGCCCGCAGTAGCAGCCGTAGCCCACAAAAGCCCGGATGGCCTTTCTGCCTGTCATGGCTTCCACCATGCACTTGAGGTTGAGCATGCTTCCCTGGGCCATGGGCAGAACTGAAAGAGAGCCAAGGGGTCTTAAGAGCTCGCGTACCAAGGACAGCATGCTGCCCACATCCCGCCTCCCCTCGGGAGATGGCCGTGGGAGTTGCTGTTTGCAGAGGGCTGGCCCTGTGCGGCCCTATGAGTCAGAATTGACAGGAGGGCATAGTGAGTTCGAGTTTGCGCTGGGCCGACGTGCTCTGCAGCCCCTTGCAAGCATCTCCCTGGGCCCTCTCAGGCCCCCAGCAGGGTGCTCTGATGAACACCCATGTACAGCTGTGGAGACTGAGGTCCAGAGCCGTGGTGGACTTAGCATGTAGACTGGTGGGCGCTCAGGGCCCAGAACCAGTACACCCAGCCTCTCAGCAGTGCTGGTTCTCAGCGGGCAGGACGGGGAGGGGGGGCGGGTGGGCATGGGAAGGGGGAGAGGCTGAGGGGCAGTCACACTGGAAGAGGCTGTGCAAATGCCACATGCAGTTGTAAACAATGGGTTTGTCTTTCTTCTCTATACCTGTCCAGCTACCTCTGCCCCCACCTGGGCTCACAGGGCATCTCCGGACCCACCCAGAGGCCACCGATGCTTCCAGTTACAGCCTAGAACTGGCTGCGAGTTGGGAGAGGGCTGCTGTGCTCACGGGTGTTGGTGTCACCCTCACACACACACACGCATGCACACGTACGCATGCACATGCACACATGCATGCATCCTGGTTACACACTTACACACATGCCATCTGTCTGCACAGTGTGCACAACCACCCATACTTTCACACCGCCCCCCTTCGCCTGTGTCTCACAGCAAGTAGGAGCACAAGAACACTTTCAGTACCAACCAAGTCAGCTGCTTGGAGTCTGAGGAGCTCAGCCTCCTGCTGTGGCCTCCCTGCCCCTGGGCCCTGGGTTGCCTCTGAGCCAGGGGCTCAACTGGCACTCCACACCTCAGCAGGAGAGCAGCTCCATCCCCACTGGGCAAGTGAGAAGACTGAGGCTGGGTGGGAAAAGCAGCCTGGCTGTGGCAGAGCCCAGCGGGGACCCAGGCGGGTGGGGGGTGGGGGATAGGAGGCCTCTGTAAGACAGCCCCCCACCCCACCTCTGACCTTCTGGGCTTCTCCAGCTGTGCCAGGGTTCAGTGGCCCCTCCTGTCTCCTTGTGCCCCTTCCTGACCCACAGACAAATCAGGAAATGTTCCTGCAGCGGGGAGGAAGCCAAGGATTCCAGAAACAGGCCTGCATGGGAATCCCAAAGCCACTCTGTAGCAATTAGATTTCACGTCCACATGCCCTTGAGCAGGGGTGGCGTCCAACCTGCCAATCAGGGCACAGCCTCATGCTGCCTCCTGGGAGGGGGGCCTTTTGAGAAGAGAGATTGGGGACCTTCTATAAGAGACTAGGGACCCCTTCCTCACTCTCTCTGCTGCCAGGACTCAGTGCCTGCCTCCAGGGGTGGCCCCGGGTAGGCCACCTGATCCTGAGAGCTGTCAGCAGCCTGCCATGTTCCCGCTGACCTTGGATCCATGTGTCACTGCACCTACAGGCCTGCGACCTTCCTGCTGCCTACCTCCCCCTTCTGCACCATCGGCCTGCAGTGACATGAACCTGCAGCGCGCTCCAGCTAGTATCTGACCCTGGACTTCAGGTGGACTGGGCTGGGATGCCTTCTCGATATAAGATGACTTCCTGATATAAAACTCCCTCCTATACGTATATGAGCATTGCTGGGTTTGTCCTTCAGACACCCCACCCCCATCCCCACACCCACACATACCCACACACACATTCTTTCTTGCTTCTTCAAGTGTGGCAGCCCAGCATCCCTGGTGATGGGGAGCTGGCCCCCCAACATGGCTTAGCAAGGAGAGCTCAGACTTTGAAATGAGCCCGAGCATCTGGCCAGCCAGGGGAGGCAGGACACAGAGCCCAGCACCTGGGTCCAGTCGAAGCTCCCCGGGCCTCAGTGTTCTCATTTGTAAACTGGAAGAGCGGTCCCAGCCTTGGCGGTTCAGGTTGGCAGCACCTGTGGGGGAGGTCAGATGCTAACGGACATCCTTCCTGAAGGCAGTTAGTCGCCAGACTACACAGTCGGCCCTGCTCCCTGCCAGCGGGGGACAATGGATTACTTCTCCCTAGCTTGGTTCCAGCAGGTGGGGTTTACACCCTACTGCTAATGGTTCCTATGGAGATCCAGAGAACAGATCAAACCCGCTCAGTGAATCTAGGATCCACCCATCTTGTCACATGTATACCCCCAATCTCTCCTCTTCCTATTGCGTGTATGTCCCTAGACCACCCCCTCTCATTGCTATATAACCTATAGTGAAACCCCTTCCTGTGGTGTATGTCTTTACCTGTAATTAGTGGGCTTGCACGCTGCCCCCCCACCAAGGTATATAAGCCCGGGTTAGCAATAGAGGTCTCTCTCGCTGGTCTCTCTTCCCCCTCTCCTCTCCCATCCTCTGTTTCCCTTTCCCCTTGTCCTTCCCTTCCCCCTCTCTCCACATGGACCACCAAGCGAGGCTGAGGTGAGCATGCTACCATGAAATGTGCCTGACTCCATTATTCCAATCTCTCCTCTACCTCTCATGCTCTCGATGACTTTAATATTATATCTATATATCTATATATTTAGATATATATATCTCAACCGTACAATTGTGCTTACTGAACCCGACGAGCGGTGGGGGGCTGGCACCCCCCCACTTCATACCGCACACACCTGGGAGCCTGGCACACACAAGACACTCCCTGCCTCCTGCACTGCCACTGGGGGCCACCCTTCTCTTTGGTATGATGTTGGGGAATGTGCCGCACCTGGGTCTTCCTGGCCCTTGGCTTCAAAGTTTTCATCACTACAGACCAGGGAGCCAATAAGCGAGGAGAATAGGAAGGGATGGGGGACGTGAAAGACAACTATGGTGAGGACTGACAGCCGCGTGAACGACCATGGACTACGTTGCCAGGGAGGCAGACAGCCCTGCCTTGGACACAGGCTTCCAGTTATCGCTGTGGATCCTTGGGTGGGTCACGAAACCTCTCTGGCTTCAGTTCCCAAATCTAAACCCTGGGGACAACAACACACTCTGTGCAGAGCATCTGGGAGGTCCTGAGGAGCACAAACGTGTGTGGGGGTGGCGCGGGGAGCACACATCTGTGAGGGGTGCTGTTCTCTCTCCCTCAGCCTGAAATGTGTCCCTCCCCCACTCTCGGCAGCTGTTATCCTGGGGGCAGGGCTTCCTGACCCTCAACTTCTCCCCCATTGTAACAGAGGGAAGTGCCCACTCACACACTGGGGAGCACACACAGTCTCTCACCGACACTCACACCGACGCACAGATCCACACGCAGCCATTGTACACATACCTCACACAGATGCAGACATACAGACATACACCACGCGCGCACATGCACACTGACTCACCTACTTCATGCTACCCCTACAAGCCTCACATCTGACACACACAGATATGCACACACCACACACCACAGGCATACACACACATACGGACACGCACTCACTCACCTCACACTACCTGTACACACCTCACATACGCACACAGGTGCTCGCCAACCTCACCCTCTCACGCGCATACACTCACCCCCCACACCCAACTTACAGCGTGCATGCCTCCTGCCCCCATTTCCGCTCACATCTGTACAAACACACCGACGCACACCTCTCCCACGTTGACAGACACACACCTCACAAAGACATCCGCCCGCAGACACACAACACTGAGGAAAACCAGGGGCCTGAAGCTCGCCCTCCCCACACTGCCAACGTCATCTGTGCGCTCCAGCGACAGGCTGGCCCCTCACCAGCGCTTCCTAATGGCAGGCCACGTGGCATGAACTCAACCAGCACTTCCGAGTGCCTGGCCCAGTCTAACCTTGTTGTTTGTTTGTGTGTTTCATACAGGTATTTTTCCTTCAAGTCAGTCTGTGTTCAGGGAGTGTTAGCCCGGGGGGAGGAAAAGTTCAGTGCACATCCCATGTCCCTGAGTGGCCGGCCACACAACATCTGGAGGTGTGGCATGGGCTAGAGTTGCATCCAAAGCCTCACTTGGCCCTCCCAGGGATCGTCTCCTGCCGATCGCTAATGCCCTGGGGGGCCCAGGGAGAGCAGTTCCCACAAGCGGAATTCTCCACCATGTGTCTCTTGTGTGTGAAGCTGCGTCTCCATCTTGTCACCTCACACTCCACAGAGAGAGGCCCCGCGACCTTCGTGTAAATTGTGGTGTTGGCAAGGAATGCCAGTATCGATGCCGCGGTGGCCCAAAGCGAGAACAAACCCTTCTGGGAAGCATTGCAGCCGGAAGGCTCCCCGGAAGTGAGGATGGCAAGGCTTCACCCCCTCCCTTCATGTGCGTCTCCAGAAATGGGCATCAAGGTTGGTCAAAGGGAGGGTCAGCGAGAAAGAGGGCACACCCCCGGGAGATGATGGACGTGATGGCCACACGATGGACTGGACGGCACAGGACCCGGCGACGCCTTGGCCCGCTCTCCCCAGGCCATCATGGGTCAGAGACCCCTAACCTCGACACGCCCATGTCCACAGTCGGTAGATTTTACCCACCACGCTAACGCACACTTAGGTCAATAAGCACACGTAAACTCGCACACTCAGATGCCAACGTGAGCACACAGATTCACATACACCACCCTGCTGCCAGGCCTGTTTTCACCCATCATAGATGCATGGCAAATACCCCCACCCCCACCCAGGCTCCCGACCTCGTGTCCACATGCCTCCTTTAGTAACAATCATACAATTCTGTCCACGCAAACACTCAGACTTGGCTGGGCAACCCGGGTGCTCACTCAGCACCCACCACTGTTTTACAATGCTTGCTCAGCTGTGGGCCCTGCCCCCTTGAGCCTCGTAAATGTGACTGGCGCTGGACAGGGGACTGGGGAGTAAACAGGCCCCAGAAGGGAGGATGAGGGCTGGCTGGGGGCTGAAGCAGGAAGTGGAAGCTCCGAGACAGGAAGTGGCAGCTCTGGGGTCTCAGTGCCTGCCAGTGGCCTTGAGCCCAGAGTGGCCACGGTCACGTTGTCACAGAGACGGGCTGGGGGAGGGAGCGAAGGAGGAGCCTCCTTCAGAGGCTTTACTCACCGCTACCGGCCAGGAGGGCGATGGCGAAGAGCTTCTTCATACCCAGGCTAGACCTGCGGGAGGAAGAGTCCTAGGTCCCCAGTCTGTCCCCTCCACCTTCCTCAGGGCGCACCAAAGGACCCATCAACCCTGTCCCAGTGGCTGCCACCAAACCCTGTGATTAGCACCTCTAGGAAGCTCCAAGTGCTTCCCTGTGTGCCCAGCTCCTCCTGGAGGAACCGGTACCTGGAGCACAGGGCTAGGAGCAGCAGCCCCTCCCTGCACCAGCTTCCAGAAAGGGAACCGCCATATCTCGATGGAGGACCCCCTCTGGGATCAGAGCCGACCCACCTTCCACCCACCGTCCTGAGCCAGTGAGCTGCCACCCACCCAGCCTTGTGAGATAGGGCTTCAACCTAGCGACAAGAGTTGGCTGTGTTCTAGCCCCAGCTCTGTTTTCAAAATGCTGCGTGGCTGACAGCAGAGCTATTAACTTCTCTAGGCATAAATGTCCCAGGAGATTTGAGTAGGTGGTCCTGAAGACCCTTCCCGGCATGAAAATACAGTGACATGGCTCAGTCCATCGTCTGCTTTCTGGAGAAAGGGATTTGGGGAGCAAGTCACCCCCACCTACATCCTGCCCTCTCCTCTGGAGATTCCAGCCCAGGAAAGCCTGCACTTACCTGGAGATTCTCCCAGGAGAGGAAGCCGGGAAGCATGAGGGCTCACTCCCAGAGGGGTGTCTAACCGGCACCTTCTTTCTGCATCCTTTGGGGTTGGCTTGCGCCCCATCTGCCATGTTCTGGATTCAGGGGGGCCAGCGACATAGGTCTTGCACGGACTGAGATCCACTCTTAAGTCTCTGGGTAGCAGACCCCAGCTTCACGCTGCCACTGCAGACTGGCCGGGCAAGAGGCAGGTGACACATGCCCTAGAAAAGAGGCTCCTCCCCCTCATCCCTCCCACCTCCAGGGCCCTGCCCACAGCCGCTGGCCAAGTCCCCACCCACGGCTACAGGAGCGTGCTCCTTGGGTCAGAAAGGGTGAGGGCTTGTGAACCTAACTGGGAGTGTGGGCCCCTCCCCAATGCATGTTTGCGCCTCTGGAAGACGGCTCCTTCATGTGGAAGGGTAAGTCTACTCAAGTCCCTGACGAGTGCTGTCTTCGTTTCCTCGTGCTGCTGTAAGAGAAAGACCAGTGGGTGGCTGGTTCGAGACCCAGCCTTCAGGTTGGCTTGCAGCTCACTCTCAAGGCAGTGTGTGGATGCTGGGTTGGCTCTGATCCCAGACGGAGTTCGGCACCAAGCGACGGGGAGCTTCTTGTCTTGCAGCAGATGCAGGGTGGGCTTGCTGCTCCAAGTGGGTGGCAGGGAAGCTGCCTCCTGGCTCTGCCCTCCAGGTGCCCGTGAGCAGGGCACACAGGAAGGCGCTTGGAGCGTCCTGGAGGCGCTACTCGCAGGGCTCGGCGGCAGCCACTGGGGCATCTGGGGCAGGGGGTTGCTGTGGCCTCTGGCAAGTCCAGGGGATGCAGCAGGACCAGAGCTACAGGAAGGCGGAGGGGCTGGACCTCGGTCTCTTCCTCTCACACAAACAGAAATTTATTTTCTTAGAGTTCGTTGTTGTTGTCAGGCGCCATGAACTCGGTCTGACGCAGAGCGACCCTGCCTACAACACAAAGAAACACTGTCGCGTGCTGGCCACCCTCATCCTCGTCCCCCACACAAGCCCACTGCTGCAGCCACTGCGTCCCTCAAATGCATCGTTGAGGTCTCCCTCTTCTTCCCTGATTCCTAGGCTGTACCAAACACACCCTCCTTCTCCAGGGACGGGCCCTCCCTGATAATAGGGCCAACGTGAGCGAAACAAAGTATCCCCATCCTCACGTTTCAGGAGCGCTCTGACTGAGCGTCTCCCGAGACGGTCTGTTCTTTCTTGGGGCAGGCCGGCTCCCTCAGCGTTCTTCATCAGCACCACAACCCCAGAGCATTGGCAGTATTTGCACACGAGGCGATTGAAAAGACCACGGCTTGAGCCAGACTCGTCTTAGTCCTCAAAACGACATCTCTGCTCTTGAGACTTTGAGGAGGTCTTTCTTTTTTAAAAATCATTTTATTGGGGGCCCGTACAACTCTTATCACAATCCATCCATCCATCCATTGTGTCAGCACATTTGTACGTTCGTTGCCATCATCATTCTGAAAGCATTTGCTCTCCACTTGAGCCCTTGGCATCAGCT